TTATATAAAAATATATATATATTTTTTTTTTAAGTAATTCTGATACTTTCCAGTAAAAGATAACGTACGTCTTATATGTTATGAACTTCTCGATAATGTTACTTTAAATCTTATACGTTGAATGATAGAGAAAGTCGATTAGTAATGTTAACCTCTGTATAATGATCGCAGATAACAGAAAATTTAAGATGAATTCAAAATTGCTAGTAGATTTTAGAAAAATGCAATACGCAATAAACTGTATATCTTTCAGACCAAGAGTCAAGCAGATGCAGCGAGGACAATTTATTTACCAAATTCTTAAATATTGCCTATTTATCAGCCTATTTCGAGTGCATCTTTGCGAAAAAAAAATATAGGAATACGAAAAAATTACCCGGCATATGCTATTAAAAAACTAAAATTTTTCAATAGCATGTAAGATTTACGTAGATTTAAGTAGATTTTACGTGTTTACTTGTAGTTTTTTCCGTAAGAAAATACTCCTTGTACTGTTGTATCTCAATCTATTTACTAACAACATTTTAAAAACTTGCAAATTTTCATTCTTTCTCCACATTCCCTGTTTTATTTTGCACTTGCGCTCGCGCACGGGAACATAAATTAACTCGTTTTTTAAAAGAACAAGGACCTTTACTATTTACGAAAATATCGTATAATTTTACGAGCTGAATACGAGATTGATACACGTTCGCCCGCGATCACGACGCGTTGCTCTCTCTCTCTCTCTCTCTCTCTCTCTCTTCCTCTCTCTCCTCTCTCTCTCTCTCTCTCTCAACTCTCTCTTTTTACTTATTATAAAACAGCTCTTCACCGCCGACTGCGTCGTTATGAAGGCCTTAATCTGGTTCATTATAATATCCTCATCAGGTTATACTATTGAATCCCTATCACGTTTTCCCATACACAACAATAATGTTAAATCAATGTTGAGAAGATGTTGAATTGCAACAATGTCAATATTGCAATAATATTGAGGAACATTGAATCAACCTTGCACAAACCTTAATATAATAAAAATATAATAAAAATATAATAAAAATGTCCGTTTAAAAATTTTCCGCGTAGATTTCATTAAAAAAAATTAATTCTTAATTTTTTTATTACTATTAATTATTATTATTATGTCTTATAACTCTCTGCTAGGGACCGAAAAAAATTGTCACAAACACTCTAAAACTTTCGCGAACCGTCCCTAAGTAATTTTAAACCCGAAGCGGTATGCCGGTCATCCACCCATCCTGACTGCGTTGCTTAAACCTAACGATCGAACGGCACGTGGTGATTCCAATGACTCCAACGATGTTCTTACAATTTATGCTTATAAAATGTATACTTACAGTGTTCACAGTATATTATAACGTACCTAGCAAATACGTGCGTTGATTCGCCTATCTATTTTATTTAATATCTCTAAAGTTTAAGTGGTTATTTGCAAAATGACTTCGACCATTCCTTTCAGCTTAATATTTTTATGCATTTTTTTGTTATAGATTTGCGTCAACTTGCGTCAGACTCTATATAATAAAGAATATTATGAAATAAAAGAATTTTTTTTTCAGGGTTTACGCAAAATTGCTTAAACACATTTTAATTTTACATATAAACAATAAGAAAAATATATATGATTATTCTATATTGCCATTTAATATGAATAATATATATATATTAATATAATAAAATTTAATAATTTATTTTATTATTATTATATAATAAAAAATTTTTCAATAATATTTTCAATAATATAATTTTCAATGCTTCTCAAATATTGTTGCAATATTGCAAAATATCATACTTTTATATTTTTATTATTATACTCATGTTGTTTTTGTTGAATATTTAAAAATTTTATATAAAATATATGTGAATTTATATTTAAACATTTTTTTATAATACTTAAAATTAAAAAAATAAATATTTTTATGAAAAAATTTATAAAAATTTATTAATCAAACCTACTATATATCAAGTTGTTACAAAAAGTATTGAAAACTGATAATGCAAGTCATAATAGGTAAAATAAATAAGATCCTAAAAAGGACCTGATCAATAAAACATTATGAAATAATATATTAGGATAATACATTAAGGTCCTAATATATACCTATTATTATAACCTTGCAAAGGTCTTCCTTATTCAATTTTTATCAGTACAAAATCTAACTTAATCCCTAAAATTAATATTCTGGGTTACACTTAATGTAAGAAAAATTTTTTCAAATAACTTTTTTTTGCTCGTCAGGAATGAAAAGTACAGTCTCACCCGAATTTTTTTTTTGGCTACGCCACTGGCTTAAAGCAACAACAAAATGAAAAAGAAGGCACTAAATAGACGCAATTACGCATATATATACATGTAATTTT